GAATTTATATTTCTTTATCAGTAATATACAAAGTTTGGGCTGAGTAATCTCTATGATCTCTTCAAATTCTGGGATTCTGTGGCCAAACAGACTTTCCAGGAAGGGAAATACTGACCTGTGTTGTGTCTCATTTTTCCTCTTCTTGAGTCAAGAACATTCACAGATACTAAAGGATGGCTTTACATTACATTTTTTTTAATAAGGGAAAAATTATTTCAGAAGGATAGGTTGACAAGGGACATGGTGAATTTCCAAAATTAACTGTGAAAGACAGATCATCTGGGCATGACTGAAAGCCAGGCATAACCTTTGTGCTCAGATATCTCATTTCAAAAATGTCACTTTCTGCTTATTCAATGCTGCTGTCATTATACTATTTTAAGCATTAAAATTTGTGTTCTGGAGCTGAACAGGAATTATTGTTTCTATCTTTGGGCTTATTAGAAAGAATTTAAAGTTCATTCAAGAGCAATAAAACGTTACCTTTTTATTATGGTCTAATTTAGTTAAATGTTGAAATTTGCAATGCAATTTTTCTTGTCTTTTATCAGCAGCATTTCAGCATCTATGTATATAGATCAAGACTATTTTTAAATACCTTCTAAAGAAATGACTTTTTAAACGTGAACTTTTCTTTAAGTTTTAACCCTAGAGTGAGGTTAAAGTAGAATAAATTATGTGACAATGTTGCTTAAAATTTCAGACTTTGCTTTATACAGGTCAACTTAAGGGGGGACAAAAGCATATGTGACAGTTGAAACAAATTTTCATTGCCCTATGAATTATTTACTCAGTACTAGGACTAAGGTAAAACTAGATGATAAATGGCAAACGGAGAGAAAAATCAGTTCATTAGAAAATAAATCGTTTCCTCTTCTGATTTTCCAGAAAGACCCATGAGATCGCAAGTGGGGTGTGGAATGGGAAGTAGATATTGTTTGGAAAAACAGTCTCCCATATTGAAGGAATGAATCTGTTTATTCCTCCTCATCATCTGTAATTTACTTAAGATTTTACTTTCTAAATAATCCTCAATACTCTCATTTCAAATTTGGATCAATACAACAAAAGAGGACCAGGAAACAAAATGGGCTTGAGTTATATGAATCTGCCTGCATCAGGCTCTTCTCACCACATAGGAAGAGGAGAGGGAGGCAGCTTGCCTGAGTAATGAAGGATTGCTTGGGCATGGTTGGCTGAAGAAATGCATTGGCTGGTGGGCAGCAAAAGAGAGTGGAGCAGGGAATCAAGATGCCAAAGCAAACACCACCAGCAAACTAAAAACATCCAGAAAATGAGTCAGCATCCAGTAGCATGTACTTTGGCGTGGATCAGAGGCTGGAGAGTCAGATTGAGAAGAAGAACCAGAATAACAGGCCATTTGGTGGAAGAGTTCTCCTGAGTGGGTACTTGGGTAGAGCATCTCTGCATTCAGCTTTAATATGTTCTTTGTGATGTGGTTTCAGGGGATGAGGAGGTAGAGGGCAGAGGAAGGTGAAAATTACATTTAAAAGACTGGAGAGGAGTTACATTAATTCTTAAAATAACAAAGCTAGTTAATGTATTCCAATGTGTTTGGATGAAATTAAAGTGGGTGCTCATGATTCAACTGTACAGGGTGTTGACGTAGGGCTCAATAAATATACTGTTGTCTAGGTCAGCTTGGGTTGCCATAACAAAATACCATAGACTGGGTGGCTTAAACAAGAGATATTTAATTTCTTACAGTTCTTGAAGCTGGAAGTCCAAAATCAAGATGCCAGCCTCTTGGGTGAGCTGTCTTCTTGGCTTATAGATAGCCACCTTCTCACTGTATCCTCCCGTGGTGGAGAGAATGAGAGAGAAAACACATTCTCTGGTGTCTCTTCTTATAAAGGCCTTAATCCCATCATGAGGACCCAAGCTTCCTGTCCTCATCTAAACCTAATTATTTCCCAAAGCCCCGTCTCCACCAAGGCCATCACATGAGAGGTTAGGACTTCAACATGCAAATTGGGGGTGAGGGGGCGGGGCACCATTCAGCCCATAGCAGCTGTCAATTTTGATCATCTCAGAGTTACCATAAGAGTCACATGTTATATTTTATTCCCCTTTTCAGACAATATCTGTACAGTCGTGTGCCCCATAACGACATTTCAGTCACTGACAGACTGTATATACGATGGTGGTCTCATAAGATTAGTACCCTATAGCCCAGGTGGGGAGTAGGCTATACCATCTAAGTTTGTGTAAGTACATTCTATGATGTTCACACAGTGACCAAATCACCTAATGATGCATTTCTCAGAATGTATCCCCATCATTAAGCGACGCATGACTGTACACATCAAAATAATTAATAAAATATTGCAGATCTGAAATTGATTAAATGCTCATGCCACGTAATTTTACAGTTACACTTGGTTTGGCATTGAAATTGTCCTCACAATACAAATGATTGTTCAAATTCCTTCTTAATGAGTAGTTGGTCTAACTTAATTCTAACTGTATTATGTTCTAGAATAGAAACTCCTTTGTCTTCAGTCATTTCATAGATAAGAAGGGTCTTTATTTCATTTTTTTCTCTTTCCTTTTGCAAACAAAATGAAGTGTTATTTGCTTACATTTTTACATTTGAGTGTAACCTAAGCATTGGTCTTGCCCATTCCAAAGGCCACTTTCTAATCTATGGGGGAAGAGGGATGTTGGCTCCAGATTTGCTCATGAGGCTGCTGCTTCCCTGAACATCATGCCATTCCCAGCTCTACTCTTGACCCCTCACTGCCTGGTAGTCCTGGGTTATGGTCTCCCCTCGATGCATTGCTGCTACCTAGCCTTGGGCTCAGTAAATGCTTGAATTCTGCCTGTCCTGTTATTTTCCTCCATACAAGTATTGGAGTCTAGGTAAGAATATCAGATTTTAGTGAAAGGTTAAAGAAAACAAAAGTTAATTATGATTTAGGAGGGAGAAAAAATGAAATCTTATTCCAAGTACGATTTTTCTCATATAATGAGTTATCCATCTCATGCACAAACATTAATTCCTAGCTTTAGGTTAACTCTCCATTCACAGACACCTTGTCAGTGACAAATATTTTCCCAGAGTCTGAGTTACTTAGTACTGAGTACTGAGCCTAGAATGATACCCTGAGGTGGAGGATGGCAGGAAACAAGCTTCAGAAGAATAGTTTGGGTGAGCTTTTTCTTCTAAGTCCTGACTCTTTCAAAGGCCCTTTAGTCCTAAGTCGATCTTTTCATTGATCTACAGTGTTACTTCATTTGGGCTGAGATTTTTGTATGTAATCTGATGATTTATTTAAATCATATGAAAATTAACATACACAGGAGATTTCAGAACCAGTCAAATTTATGACCAGTGGGACATACAAAAAGGAGCTGTTGGTTACTTTGGGTCCCCCTTAAAGAATTGTCTGAGTAGTTTTCACCCCATATGTATCCAGGTTTTTCACTTTGGGTACTAAAAAACTCCACTGCTGTATCTCCCTGGAAAAGGACATCTAGTTTTTCCAAGTATGGGTTAAAGGAAAAGTCTAGACACATTAAGAACCTTCCCTTCAAAAAGATGTTTGATTATAGTCGGTAGAATTATGATCATGGGCACAATGGAGAGGAATATTTGAAAGTAGGAATGGCCTAGAAAAGTGAGAGACATAGCTGCTTCTAGAATATTCCATTGGTTCGCTTTCTCTGAAGGTGTGATTGATGTGTAGAGCAGCTGCCCAACTAATCTTTGCCTCTCCTTTAGTAAGTTTTAGAAAAGCTGCAGTCATAAGTATTCTAGTTGAAAAAAGAACAAAGGCGACTACAGGTGTTTCCTGATTTGTGCTTTGAGACACCCCTTGCCCCCACCCCTTAAGGCTGCAAATTATAGAGAAGCTTATTTTCTCATGGTTTTACACCTATAAGCTGTACTGTCAGCTTGCATTATATGCTACCATTTACCACAAGCAACTGCATTCTACCACATTGCATAATAATGATAATCATTGTAATCATATATCAATACAATGAGATAATGAGATAATAACAAGACTCCAGGACCTTCCTTGCATGCTAAACAATTGATTGCAGTCACAGACGTGTTGCCAGCCTGTTCTACCCTACCGTATAGTGTCAGAAGTTTATGCTCCATCATGAGGGGGGCTTCCAGCCAGCTGTGGGATGCACTTGCACACATATCTGTTGTGAGTTTCCCGTAGTTATTCTTGAAGCTTACACATCAATGTCTGGATCATTCTCTTGTAAAACTCTCGAGGGGGATCTGATGAGTCAGTGGAATAGATCTAATAAATTCATTCCAAGACAGCCTTTGGGACATCATAAGAGATCTTATGAACGAAAACAGACAACTACACCATAATCAACAATACCTGGAGATTTGGAGATTAACTTGTCTAGCCTCACAAGATTTTCACGTTAATTTCCCCTGAAGTATCAGCCCCTTCTGTAGAGAAGTTATTTATCTGAACCAAGAGAGAGATTAAGTCTAGCAGGCTGGGACATTTATATCCTAAACGAAAGCAAGATGTGACCATGTGCAATAGCCACATCATTAAAAAGGCTGAATCCTCATGGTATTTTTGTGACCATTTGTGACAACAGAAACTCTAGATATTTTCCCCCCGAGCTTCTTGCTTAATTCTTGAAGATTAGTATGTATGAAACTTGCGATTGTTTTTATCCAACATATTTCATCTGAAGGTTTCTATTTAGAAATTTTAAGGCAGAGGGACAAATAGTCCTGGTCTTAATGGATTTATCAGTGTTGGATTATAAATATTCGTTTGAAGATAAATATTACTATTGTTCTGTCATCAGGTTTTCCTAAGTATGGGAAATGTTTGACTTTTGTTTGATTTTTAGTCTAAACCTTAAGCTAGAAATGAAGGAGACTACCCCCGCTCCCCCATCAAAGGTTGATAGTAGTAAACCCAAGTGCAAATCATTTTTGAAAGTTTTCCTGTTGCACTCATGTGTTTTACCTTTTTTTCTTCTTTTAGTGTCGGCCAAACCGAGACCCCATAGTGATGAGTATTCAAAGAAGATTCCTCCTCCAAAACCAAAACGGAACCCAAACACTCAGCTTAGCACATCTTTCGATGAAACGTATATCAAAAAGCACGGGCCCAGGAGGACGTCGCTCACGCGAGACTCTTCCCTCTCCCAGGTCAGCAGCCCAGCGGGGGACCCGGAGGAGGAGGAGCCGGTGTATATCGAGATGGTGGGGAACATTCTCAGAGACTTCAGGAAAGAGGATGACGACCAGAGTGAGGCCGTCTATGAGGAAATGAAATACCCCATCTTTGACGATTTAGGCCAAGATTCAAAATGTGACCTTGACCATCACAGTTGTTCTTCGCAGTGTGCTACTCCCACGGTGCCTGACTTGGACTTCGCCAAGTCCTCAGTGCCATGTACTCCAAAAGGTTTGCTTTGTGACATCCCGCCGCCCTTTCCCAACCTGCTTTCTCATAGACCCCCGCTGCTGGTGTTCCCGCCAGCTCCTGTGCAGTGTTCCCCCAATTCCGATGAGTCTCCGCTCACCCCACTGGAGGTCACAAAGCTTCCTGTGCTGGAAAACGTGTCTTATATGAAACAGCAGGCTGGAGCATCTCCATCCTCACTGCCCTCTCATATCCCTGGCCATCCCAAACTGGAGAAAGACCAGACCGGAGCCCTAGGACCAGCTCCTGCTGCTTCTGTGCTCTCCTCGTCCCCTCCCCCGCCTTCCACTTTGTACCGAACGCAGTCTCCCCACGGCTACCCTAAAAGTCACTCGGCCTCCCCATCACCTGTGAGCATGGGGCGGTCCCTGACCCCGCTCAGTCTCAAAAGGCCTCCACCCTATGATGCTGTGCATTCAGGCAGCCTCTCAAGGAGCTCTCCATCAGTGCCTCATTCCACCACCAGACCAGTGTCGCAAGATGGGAGCAAGATGGTCAACGCTGCGGTGAATACCTATGGGTCGGCTCCGAGCGGCTCCCGGTCCAGGACACCCACGAGTCCTCTGGAAGAACTAACCAGCCTCTTTACCTCAGGACGGAGCCTGCTGAGGAAGTCGGCCAGCGGCCGCCGTTCTAAAGAACCCGCTGAGAGTAAGTGCACAGTTTGTATATGAGCCAATCTATACGTTTAGTTCATGACTTAAAAATGAAGCCTGGTAGATACAGATAAGGCACGTAGTACATGATCCTTAGTCCTTTTAGCTGATTTCTCAAAATGTATTTTACTTTTGCCCCGCTAAAGAATACAGTGTGTTCTGAAAGAACTAAAAGTGACAATCTCTGCAATATAATATATCCAATTAAAAGAAGGGTGTTTTTTTAAATAAAGTGTAAAGTCTAAATTCTTACAGTGGCTCTGGAAAGTCTAAGAAAGAAAACAGATCACTATGGAATTTTTAGGTAAATATCTTGATTTGGGAGGATTATACACAAAAATGGAATTGATGTGTCAAATTTATCTTTATTTTACATTAGAAACCTCCTTGAGCAAATCTGTATTAGAAAGCCTTTGCTGGAAAGAAAGCAATTCAGATAGAATTTAGTACTTTTCTTTTTTAGCATAATGAGTGATTTTCTCCACATATTTAAATGTTATTATATTCTTACCTTCACTCTAAACTAGAATAGGCTTATTGTTTTGCTTTTATAAGCCATGGTAATTAGCTTCTTATTCCTATGGTACTCTTCCTAGATCTATCAATATATAAATTAAGGAAAAATCACTAAGCGATAAATAGGTGGTGAATATTTTATCTGCCACTGAATTTCAAAGACCAGGAAATGTCTCTTTCTGAATGACTAATCCTTTTGTGAGCCAAATCACTCCCCGTGAGTGTATAGGAAAGTCAAAACAGATTGCAGTTTTCTTGATGGCCATTTTATTAAATTACACTGATTTCCGTTATTTAAAAATGCCTGAAGTACATAAAATGATAATTAATCATTTACATCTCAAATGACTCCACTACATGGTTTGTTATTTATCCAATCACACAGTCATGCTGAGGACCTTCCATAGAGTAAAAGAAATCTACAATACTTCTGATGAGGAAGATGATGATGGCACTCCTTAGATAATTATTATTCATTAGTAGTTACAAGCCACTTAGCTCATCTTTTTTTTTCTTTACCCAGAGAGACTTATGAAAGCATTAGCTGCTTAAATAACCCATCCCCCCCCCCAACATTTCATTTTCCTAACTGAAAGGCAACAATTTCTAATATATTAGATATGTCTGGATACACAAGTATATATTAAATTATTTCTAAAATTATTCTAGAAATTGAATTAAAAGTTAGGAACAATCTATTTCTAGAGTAGTGGTTCTCAGCTGGGTCGATTTTGCCCCAGGGATATTTGGCAATTTCTGGAGACATTTTTGGTTGTCACAAATGGGAATGCTACTGACATCAAGTGGATAGAGGCCAGGGATGCTGCTTGACAGCCTACAATGCACAGGAGAACCCACCACAAAAGGAAAAAAAAAAAGAGAAAAAGAAAGAATTGTCAATAGTACAAAGTTTGGGAAACCTTGATTTGGATAATTTATTAAAGTGTTTCTCCCAGATAATTGATTTGGCTTAAAAATAATCAAGTAAGGTATTTGGAATAAGTTGGAGTAAACAAATTTCTTTAAAGAAAAATATTTTACTATCAAAATACATAATAGTTAGTGTGAAATTAGTAGAAATTTCATCCTAGAATTGGTGAAATTATAGAATTTTCTCCCTACGTACTAGTCCCTTTGGAGGATCCTTAACAGCTCCAGCTGGCAGCTATACCAATTAGCTAGAAAAAGTATATGTAAAAGAAATGATTAACTAATGAAGTTATTTCAGGAAAATTCCATCTGTTGGAATCATTCTATGTGCTATATGTCACAGACTTCTCTATTCGACTCTAAAAAGAGCTTTGTGTGCTTCTAAAACAAAGCCTGTACATAGAAAAGAGATCAAGGCTGTTTATAGCTCTTAGGGATCTGAAGATTGAATTCCTTCTCATGTGCTATTAACTACGTATCAACTCTTCAGAGAAAAGGCATGCCCTGAGTTACATTAACTTCAATATTTTACTTACATAAATGGAAGGCAGGAAAAATGCAGATGGTAAAAATGAATAATCTAATGCTATTTACTTTTGACTTCTGAAGAAAACGGGAAGACACTGTCATGCCTGGACATATAGACTGGACATGTAGGCAGATATAGGCACCAACACGTGAGGCCCATACAAAGATACACAGAAGCATATAAGCGGCACAGAGATGCAGTGGGACTAAAGATGGAGCAAAGGACAAAAAAGATGCAAGCCCACTCATCTGATACTATTCTTAAAAAAAAAAAAAAAAAAGGTAGGTTGGCATTGCCAAAGAGCTTCATCATACTCAACGATATTCCACATGGAGATACACAGTTTTCTACTGTTAAATCTCATCTTTCAGTCTTTAAAAATACTCCTATTTAAGACTTTTAGATGTTATGTTATATTTTTGCAATGATAGACATAAGTGAGTCCTATGGGTCTGATGAAGTAACATTGGGAATCAGATCTAATCATGACCTTTCCATTCATGTAAAAAAGAATCAAAGAGGGGCTGGCCGGTGGCATAGTGGTTAAGTTTGCACTCCACTTCAGCGGCCTGGGGTTCGTGGGTTCGGATCCACAGTGTGGACCTACACACTGCTCATCAAGCCATCTTGTGGCTGGGTCCCACATATAAAATAGAGGAAGACTGGCACAGATGTTAACTCAGGGCCAATCTTCCCCACCAAAATAAATAAATAATTTTTAAAAACAAATCACAAAAAAACAGTCCAAAACTAACATGCAAATAAACAAAACAAAACCATAAAACCACCCCGACACTCCCCACCACACACACACACATGCACACAGACACACACGTATACCTTTTTCCTTTTTTAAGTCACCTGAGGCCCAGTGATACCTAAAATATTAGGCATTGCTGATCAGCAACTGATCCAACTTCTAATTACTAATTTAATTTAAAAAAGAATTTTAGGGGCTGGCCCCGTGGCCGAGGGGTTAAGTTCGTGCGCTCCGCTGCAGGCGGCCCAGTGTTTCATTGGTTTGAATCCTGGGCGTGGACATGGCACTGCTCATCAAACCACGCTGAGGCAGCGTCCTACATGCCACAACTAGAAGGACCCATAACGAAGAAGATACAACTATGTACTGGGGGCTTTGGGGAGAAAAAGGAAAAAAATAAAATCTTTAAAAAAAAAAGAATTTTAAATTAAATAAAGAATGACTTTGGAAGGAAAGCTTTTAAAATATGTGTCTGTATTTATATATTATCCCATTTTTAGGAGAACAGGAAGGGTATACTAACATAATGTAGCCGTCTTTATGATTTAGGGTCATGCTTGTGACCATTATTGTGTGCCTACTGTGTGCTAATGCGCGTAAAGTGTCTAGCAAAGTAAGCTGAACAAGAGAGGCCTGACACAGTGGTGGCTATCGTTGTCCCTGGTCATTTGTAATAGCAGTGACACAGTATTGATAGCTTAGTTATTACGATCCTGGGATGTCCTTGGGGGCTATTTGAGGTTGTAGGGCTGACCAGCCCTCTACCGCTGTATCATTTAAATTCACTTAAATTCTATGTCTGTTTCTTGTGGTTTTCCTGTCTCCTCCCTTTCTTTCGGGTAGTTTTATTAATGCATCTAGCCTCTGCTCCCCTCTCCTGCCTCTCCGATTCTCCTTTCACTCTTTTCCTCATTGTATTATCACAACATTAGTCAGCTATGGACAAAGAAATCAGATACCCAAACTTGTCTGAGGAGCCTTTCATCTTATTTAAGTATGTGACCTTCAGTGGAGGGGCTTTGTGACCTTTGCTTTCAAAGGCCTCTTTAACCCACTTACTAAGTCTTGAATGGAGTTCTTGGCTTCATGTCTGAGATAGTTGCGAGTATCGACTTCCCAAGAACTAAGCTGTTCTGAGAAACATCGAATGAATGTTAGTTTACTTAAGGAGAACCTATACATTTTCTTTAGCCTATTGAAGGTATTTTTTATTCGGTAAAATTTAGCAAAAAAGTAATCAAGGACTTTCTCTTCCCTTCTTTTCATTCCTGTGAAAGCAGGGGCTGACGAAGAGTGGGCAGGACAAAAGCAGGTATTGGGAAGACAAAGAGAAGGGTGGAGAAGAGAGTCTGGATCTGTGATTTGCTCTGGAGCAAGGGTGAGCCCTCAGCCTGTGACTGCCCACTGGCAAACATTGATGTTGGGCAGAATTTCTGGATGCACGGTGACTTGGAGCCACCTGGCCAGAGTTGAGGGCTGGATCTGGAACCTCTAGAACTCTAGGATTCTTCAAAGGCATTTGGGACTTGAACTACCCCCGGAACATCTGAACGCATGTCAGGGGATATCACAAGGAAGATTCCAGAAGGCCTTGTAAGGTTATGCTAAATATCTTAAATAAAGACATGACCCTTATCAGGCCCCTCTCCTGCAGTTTGTTTCTTGCCTCCCTCCTCAGAGTCCCATACTGTGGCCTCAGACTGATTTCTGCTTTAGTCCTTGTAGGACATTTAGTCTTGTCCAAAATGTCCATAAGACATTTGGTCTACACCAAAAGGTCCTTGACATTTGGTCCTGTCCAAAACATCCATGAGCATATTTGGCCCATGCCAAATGGTTTTGGACAGGACCAAATATCAAGGACTTTTTGGCGTGGACTCAATGTGTCCATGGATGTTTTGGACAAGGCCAAATATGACCAGATATTAAGGACATTTTTGTGTGGGCCAAATGTCTGATGGACATTGTAGACAAGACCAGATGGTCCTGCCGGTATCAAGGACCTCTTGGCATGGACCCAGTGTCTCCATGGATGTTTTAGACAGGACCAAATATAAGTAGATATCAAGAACATTTTAGCATGGACCAAATGTCTTCTGGACATTTTGTATAGGACCAAATGTCTGCTAATTGCCCCAGCAAAGCTCCTTCTAGCGTCTCAGAAAAGAAAAGCAGCTGGCACTTGGGTGATGACAATCCTTGTAGGTCAGGACTATGAGGATGTGCTCAGGCTCCAGAGAAGGTCCTGGGGTCATTCAAA